GTGTTTGGGGTTACCTGGGCACAGGGTGCTGTTGTTGGGGTGTTTGGGGTTACCTGGGCACAGGGTGCTGTTATTGGGGTGTTTGGGGTTACCTGGGCACAGGGTGCTGCTGTTGTAGAGCGCACAGGTCTCCCGCACCGCTGCCCCTCTCTGCACGCAGCTCCCTGCCTCTGCGGGAAGAGCAGCAGGGTTTTCCCAAAGCAGAGGATCCCAAACCAGTTCCCCAAAGGTGTTTGGGTGCACCCAGCCCAGCCCAGCCCTCACCTCGCTCCTTGGGGGTCCCGCAGCCCACCCAGACGCACTCGGTGCCGTTGTGGGAGTGGGCTCTGGCCGTGCACATCTCACAGGATCTCAGCTTGCCGCACKCTCCTGCCAAGGACGGACAAGGGCTGAGGGTCAGCACAGCCATCGGCACCCCCAGCTCCCTGAAGGGAATCCTGGTGATGCAGCAGGAGGGATGAAGGCACATCCCACAGCACAAACCACCAACAGCCCGTCCCGATGTCCTCAGCATCCCCAGCCCTCCTGGGGACACCCCACGGGACATCCCAGCACCCACCCGGGACACACCGGGCTCACCCAGCACAGGAAACATCCCCGGCCCGAGMGCTGGGTCCGGGATCTTTCTGGAGGCTGGAATGAGATCAGGCRGCAGCAGCAGCTGCTGGGGCATTGCCTGAGCCCCTCTGCCCACCCGCAGGACCCCCGGCAGGGCCGTSAGTCACTCGCTGTTCGCGGAGCTGCTCTTCCCCCACAAACGCTCATCATTAATTTACAGCGCTGCGACGAGCGGCGGGCCCTGCCCGCACCATCCCGGGAAGAGCCGGGAGCCGTTCCCCAGCCGGGATGCGTTTCCAGGCTCTCGGGGGCAAACCCTGTCCCCCGGGCTCGCAGGAGGGTGTTGGGGGCTGGCATTCCCCGGGGTTGGACCGAGCTCAAGGCATCCCTGCCGGCAGCGCTTCCCATCACCGCCCTTCCCCTCGGAGGGAGCCGCTGAAGCCTCCCAGCTTTTAGGGTTCCCTAAAACCCACGCGTGGCTGATAGAAAAGTCCCTTTCCTCCTTTCCCAGGARAAGCCAAGGGGGCAACTGGTGGCGCAAGGCAGGAAGCGGAGATGCTGCGGCCCCATTGCCATGGCTACGGGAGGGGGAGGTGGGCACGCCGCTGCCCCCCTTCAGCATTTGGAGACCTGCCGGGAGCCAATGGGAAAGTAGGACTTTGTTCGCGAGGGTTTGGGCAGGTTTATAATTTATTTTTATCGCGGCAGGCGCAGGAACAGACGTTGGAGCCCAGCGCTGTCAACTCCCGCTCCTGGCGTCAGGTTGGGGAGGGAGAGGGGATAAAGGAGGGCAGGGGGCCGGCTGAGGGCAGCCCCCTCCCACGGCGCTCCGGGAACGCGTGGGGGTCCCGCCGGGATGAGCGAGGGTGGAAATGTCTCCCGGGAGCAGCAGGGGGATGGGAGAAGGGGAGCAGAAGGAAGCCCGGGGTTTGCATAATTAATGCCCGGAGTTGCAGCACCTCGGMAAGGCGGTGACGGCTCCGCTCCCCTCTCCCCGCCGCGGCCCACGAGATCCCCACACTTTTTGGGAAGGAGGTGGGACCCTGCACGGCGCTTATCCCGCCGCAGCCCAGGGCACCCCCTGGCCCTTGGGGGTCCCAGCCCCCCGGAACACGGCTGGGAGCAGGAGCGGGGGTCCCTCTCCCCCAAACCAAGGGGTCCCGTGGGGCCGAGGGAAACCCCTGGGAAAAGAACAACCCCCAAATAAAGTTCAGCTGCCCCGAATGTGCAAAGCCCCGAGTTYCCCCCGCCCGCGCCCCCCGGCCGTACCTGCGCGGGTGGGAGCGGGTCCGTGCGCGCACAGGAGCGCGCACAGGAGCGCGCAGCGCAGCGCCCCGGGACCCGGCGGGGCCATGGCCCGGCCCGGCTCGGCTCAGCCCGGCTCGGCACGGTCCCAGCGGGAGGTGTGTCCGCGGATCTCCCGGGAGAGCGAGGCGGAGCAGATGCGCACCCGCGGGAGGCGGCCCCGGCGGCGGCGGAGGGGGAGGGGAGGGGGCGGCCCCGCCTTGTCCCGCCCCGCCCCGCCCCGACAGCCCCGGCCCGGGACCGGGAGGGTCTCGGTGGAGGTGTCCCACCCACCATCACACACACAAACACACGCAAACACACACACAAACACAGACACACAGACACACACCCCCCGGCCCCGGGAAACCCAGGGCTGTCCACACTGTGCACACCTGTACAGGGCACACCTGTATAGTGCACACCCTGCACACCGGCACAACCTACACACACCGTGCACACCTGTGCACACCTTCACTCACCTGTACAGGGCACACCCTGCACACCCTGCACCGCACACCCTACACACCCCGTACACACCGTGCACACACCGGCACACACTCTGCACACCCTGCACGCACAGCACTCGCTGCACGCTCACTGCACGCTCACTGCACACGCACTGCCCGCTGTCCCGCTGTCCCCGCGCACATTTTCCTCCCCAGCCCCGTGTCCGGTCTTGGATCCTTCCCGGGGTTGCGGCGGCTCCCCCGGGACCGGGTCCTGGTTCAGCACCGCGARCGCCTCCAGGCTGGGCCGAACCGAACCGGGCCGAGCCCCCGGCCCCTGCCCGGGCTCCGAGGGGGCGGCCACAGCCGTGCCCGGGACAACCGGGGACTTCGGGACAACCGGGGACTCCGGGACCGCGCCGCAGCACGACCGGGCACCCCGGGACCCCCCTCTCTCGTCGGCGGGGACAAATCGCCGGAGAAACGCGCTGCGCTTCGAGGAACGGGCGTGGGGGAAGAGTCTCGAGGGGCGCAGCCTTCTCCCCTCCTCCTCCCCYYC